AGACAAGTTTGAGTTGGAATTTCCCACTTTCAATCAAGAGAATCCTAATAAATAATCCAGATACAGGTCAATAGAAAGTGGATAAATTATGGCCCAATAACAGAATACTATGTAGCTGTTTAAAAGACTGGGCATGGTGACTCACACCTATAATCCCAGTACTTTGGGAGGACAGTAAGGCGGGCAAATCACTTGAGGTGAGGAGTTCCAGATGAGCCTCACCAACATGGTAAAACTCCATCTCTACTAAAAATAGAAAAATCAGCTGGATGTTGTTGTACATGCCTGTAATCCCAGCTACTTGCAAGGCTGAGGCAGGAGAATCGCTTGAACCTGGGAGGCAGAGGTTGCAATGAGCAGAGATCATGCTACTGTACTCCAGCCTGGGCAACAGAGCAAGACTCAGTCTCAAAAAAAAACAAAAATAATAAATTTTTTAAAAAGAAGAAGAAACAATATATATCAGCATGAAAACAAATCCAATATTTAAGAGTAAAAGCAAGTTTACAGGACAGTTTGTGTGTGTGCATGTGTGTAATTTTGTATACACATATATTTAGAGAGAGAAAAGACATTTCAAAACAGTTTTAAGTGTCTCTGGAGGCTAGGATGGATAAGACTTTCACCTTATTTTTATATACTTCTGTATATCTATCTATCTATCTATCTATCTATCTATCATCTATCTATCTATCTATCTATCTATTTCATAGAGACGGGGTCTCCTATGTTGCCCACGCTGGTCTTTAACTCCTGGTCTCAAGTGATCCTCTTGCCTCAGCCTCCCAAGGTGCTGAGATTACAGGTGTGAGCCACTGCACCTGGTCCGTATTTTTCTTTTTAATTTTCCAAAAAGTATATATGACTTCTATAAAAATTTTAAGCCAAAATTAATTACAGGACAATAATTGGTATATTTATGTTACACAGCTTTTCACTTCATTGCCTCTATTGTGTATAAAAACAGAGGACTTAAAATTTTCAGGTCCAGGCTCCTAGGCCTGGCTGCATTTTGTTCTTGTTTTGTTTGTTTTTTAGATGGAGTCTCAGTCTGCCACCCACGCTGGCAACCTCCACCTCCTGGGTTCAAGTGATTCTCCTGCCTCAGCCTCCCGACTAGCTGGGACTACAGGTACATGCCACCAGGCCCAGTTAATTTTTATATTTCTAGTAGAGACGGGGTTTCACCCTATTGGCCATACTGGTCTTGAATTCCTGACCTTGTGATCTGCCCACCTCAGCCTCCCAAAGTGCTGAAATTACAGGCACGAGACACTATAAAAGGCCCAGGCCCAGGTTTTTTTTTTTTGAGATGGAGTTTTACTCTTGTTACCCAGGCTGCAGTGCAATGGCCCAATCTCGGCTCACCCCAACCTCTACCTCCTGGGTTCAGGCAATTCTCCTTCCTCAGTCTCCTGGGATTACAGGCACACGCCACCATGCCAGGCTAATTTTTTGTATTTTAAGTAGAGACGGGGTTTCACCATGTTGACCAGGATAGTCTCAATCTCTTGACCTCGTGATCCACCCACCTCAGCCTCCCAAAGTGCTGGGATTACACTTGAGCCACCGTGCCCGGCCCCCAGGCTCAGTTTTAAATATGTTCTATCACCTTAAGCAAATGTGTTTGCCTAGTGGTCCTGTTTTCTCCTTTTTAGGAGAGGTGCCTGAAGCAACAGTAGCACCTATTTTAGTGGTTTCTATATGCCAAGCACTATGCTAAGCAGATTTCTCACCATAGCTCCAAGGAGCTAAGCATCAACCCCATTTTCAGATCTGAAAACAGAAACACAAGAATTGGAATCAAAATGAACTTATATTTAGCTCACCCCCAAAAGCCACATTCTTTCCACTATACCACTCTCCCAGCCACCTCTTGCATCATGTCTCACCATGTCCTGGTGCTGGAACATACTTAAACCCGGGCCCTATGACTCAAAATTCTCTACCTGGAAAATGCTATCATTCTGAATCACTGGTCACTTACGTTATTGTTATAAAATGCTTATGCTGTATCAAACTCTAAACAAGGATGTCTCAACCTTAGCACTTTTGAGGTTTGGACTGGAAAAGTCCTTGCTGTTGGGGGCTGCCTATGCAATGCAGATTGTTTAGAAATATCCCTGGGTGGCACTCCACAATTCAGCTGTTACATCCAGATGCACTGCCAACTGTCCCCTTGGGGAAAATCACCCTGGATTGAGAACCACTGATCTAAGAAAAGCCAAACACCTGTGTGAACTCAGAATGAAAACTGTATCAAAAGGAAATTTTTAATCTAATAAATATTTGTACCTCCATTGATTCTTCACCAGTTTGGGTTAATGTTAGATCCAAGTATCTTACAGTTATTTGCCATGTGCAGAACACTGTACCAACTACACATATAATTATCCCAGAATTAGGGAAAGGAGTTAGATATTACCCTCTCAACCACTCCACTTCTCACTCACTGAAATTCATCCATGCCTGAGAGAAACAGAGCCATGTGAGGCTGCTGAGTGACAAAGGTGTTAAGAATATACCAACCAAAAATATGCTGCCCTGGCAATATTTTGTGTTAAAAACACTTGAAGAACAGCAGGAGCAAGAAGGTCATTCTGACTTTCCTTCTGTTTCTTAAAAGCAGGAGATAAAATTCCCATGTGAAAGATATCCTCTCTATGCCAGAAGTAAGTAACATTCTTATCATCAAGGACTGGGGAAAATTGGAAATTGAGGTCAAGGGAAATGTATACAAACCAACTTTATTCTCCAAGCCACTTCTCCACCCAGTTAACTCAGCCCAAGCCCCTCTGTCATGCCACACATTCATATTCCACTACTGTTTGTCTAATTCAGCATGTAAGTGTTCAACTCTGTGTTTTTGAGCATTTCTTTATGAAGACTCCCATGTTAAGTGAAACTTGTATTAAATAAGTCTATATGCTTTTCTCCTGTTGATCTGTCTTATGTTCATTTAATTCTCTGACTCAGCTGAAAAACTCTTAAAGGATAGAGGTAAAATTCTGACTCCCCTGAAATGAGAACAGAATTTTCAACAGAGAACAGTAAGAACTGAATTCAATGCTGATTTCATTTCAACTGAATAAACCAATGCACAGGTCATCTAGGCAGTAAGCTTAACTCTAGGAGCAAAAGCCAAGAAACGAAGATTCTTTTTTTCTTTAAATTATCCATCACTACACATGGCTTTCTTCCATATCTCTTCTTAGAAAATGTGGGTTAACAAATCTCATGCAAAAAAAACATAGGAAAAGAGAAAAAGAGGAAATGCAATTTAGTGTGCCAGTCAAGGTGTTCTCTCCATATTCTTTTCTGTAAACTGCTATAGTAGCAGGGTTCATTTTGGATGTTTTAATATCATGACCATCTTCCCTGCAAATTGAATAATCACAGAAACACAATTATTACCTATCATGCTGAAACTGCCTCACTATTGGTATTAAAAGGACCCATGTAATTATACATTAGATTCCTTCAGGGCTACACTTAATGATTTTTTAAAGCTAAATCTAGGAAACAGGATGAAAGTCTCCACTCTGCCATTTCTTCCCTAACCCTAAGGCACAGGACACTAACCCCAAAGAATCACTCAGAGGACTGAGCATGCCTGTAATCCCAGCACTTTGGGAGGCTGAGGTGGGTGAATCACTGGAGGTTAGGAGTTCAAAACCAGCCTGGCCAACATGGTAAATACCCATCTCTACTAAACAGAAAAAAATTAGACCAGCTGTGGTGGTTCACGCCTGTAATCCCAGCACTTTGGGAGGCCAAACTGAGTGGATCACCTGAGGTTAGAAGTTTAAGAGCAGCCTGACCAATATGGTGAAACTCTGTCTCTACTAAAAGTACAAAAATTAGCTGGGTATGATGGCTCATGCCTATAATCCCAGTTACTTGGGAGGCTAAGACAGGAAAATCTCTTGAACCCCGGAGGTGGAAGTTGCAGTGAGCCGAGATCATGCCATTGCACTCTGGCCAGGGTAACAAGAGCAAAATTCCAAATAAAAAAAACATAATATATATATACAAAAATTAGTCAGGTGTGATGGTACATGCCTGTAATTCCAGCTGCTTAGGAGGCTGAAGCAGGAGAATCACTTGAACCTGGGAGGAAGAGGTTGCAGTGAGCCAGGAGACAAGTGAGACTCAGTCTCAAAAAGAAAAAAAAAGAATCAGAGAAGACCAACTGAAGTCAGATAATGAATCCCTGTTCTATACAAAGCTGCATACCTGAAGAAGCAGTCACAGTCACCTGGTCAGGTGTGCTACATAAAGCGTATCAAGTATAATACACTCATTACTTAGCATTCCACTAAGTAGAATCAGTAAGTCCTACTTCCTGACTACTAGGACAGGGTGTGCAGATCACCCACACAAGCCCTTTGAATTAAAAATAAAATTTAATACTCCACAGAGTTTAATTATTCAGTAGACTCTGAATTTTAGAAAATTTCGAATTCATGGACAATAATATAATTTGATTACATCTCATTCTCTAACTTGGCTTGAAAAATGCAATGAGGATTTTGCATCTTTTTAACCAACACCCCTAAAACTGAGAACTACCATGTCACTTTTGATACTTATATACAAGAAAATAGACATTACCTCCTAAGTAATCAAAATCCAACAAAAGAAATGAAGAGGCCAGGCATGGTGGCTCACACCTGTAATCCCAACACTTTGGGAGGCCAAAGCAGGTGGATCACTTGAGGTCAGGAGTTTGAAACCAACCTGGCCAACATGATGAAACCCCATATCTACCAAAAACACAAAATTAGCCGGGCATGGTAGTGCCTGTAATCCCAGCTAATTGGGAGGCTGAGATATGAGAATTGCTTGAACCCAGGAGGCAGAGGTTGCAGTGAGCCAAGATTTCACCACTGCACTCCACCCTGGGTGACAGAGTGAGGCTCTGTCTCAAAAAACAAAGAAACAAACAAGCAAAAAACAAAGTAATGAAGAAAAATTTTACAGTTGTAAAATTATGTTACCTGATTTTTATGCACAGAGTACACTCATTGGGATAAGTGGACATGTCACTGCCACACACAGGGTTAAAGTCCCTGGGACATCCTGGTAATTTATACTGAGTGCAGTTTGGCTGGAAAAAAACAGAGAAATTTGAGAATGACTTGAGATACAGTCATATAAAATAGCTTAGAGGAGAATATGTTCCAGATCTCCCTAGATTTCCTAGACTAATTCAATAAAAATATTTTTATTTTCCAGAAAAAAAATTTCTCATGCAAACATCAGACACAATGTTGCTGTGATGGTTCAATACATACTATGTAAAAAGAAGACCTTGGCTGGGCACGGTGGCTCACATTTGTAATCCCAGCACTTTGGGAGGCTGAGGCAGTCAGATCACCTGAGCTCGGAAATTTGAGACCAGCCTGACCAACATGGAGAAAGCCTACCTCTACTAAAAAATACAAAATTAGCCAGGCGTGGTGGCACATGCCTGCAATCCTAGCTACTCAGGGGGCTGAGGCAGGAGAATCACTTGAACCCAGGAGGTGGAGGCTGGGCAATGAGTGTAAAATGTCTCAAAAAAAATAAGGACCTCAGAGGCTTCAATCTGGCTGATTTATTTTTTTTGAGACAGCCTTGCTCTGTCTCCCAGGTTGGAGTACAGTGGCATCATCTCAGCTCACTGCAATCTCTACCTCCCAAGTTCAAGCAATTCTTCTGCCTCAGCCTCCCGACTAGCTGGGACTATAGGCACGTACCACCACACCCAGCTAATTTTTGTATTTTTAATATAGATGGGGTTTTACCATATTGGCCAGGTTGGTCTTGAACTCCTGACCTTGTGATCCACCTGCCTTGGCCTTCCAAAGCACTGGTATTACAGGCATGAGCCACCATACACGGCCAATCTGACTGATTTTTAAATGAAAGTCTGAGACATTTCACCATACCTACTTTATTATCATCTAGCTTCATAATTTGCACTTCACTAAAATCTCCATGTGGATGTTCTATTAAATTCCACCTTAATCCCTTGGCTTAATGCCAAGACAAAATCAGGAATCTCATTTTTCATCAGTCTGAATTTTTAAGACACTCACATTTAACCAAAAACATTAAAGAAAGCAGGAGATTCACAACTGAAGCAAATTTGTGCCAAAGAAAAAATGTTCAAAACAGGTTTATCATTGATGGAGGCTTCAAATTTCATGCCACAAGATACTAACTGTTTGGAGAACTCTGTCCCTGTCGTGAAAGCTCTTCCCCCCCACACACACAAAGAGGCTCCCTTATCTTTCACTTTACATACCGTTCTGGCCTTCCCGCCCAGCTGCAGCCACCTCCCATCCAGCAACCAGCTGACCAATCACCACCTGCCTCATCAGCTCTCCCCAGCTTCCAGCCGCCCGGCAGTTTAAACTGACCAACCGTTGCCCGCCACATCAGCTCTCCCGGCCTTCCCACTCCCTCAGCCCTTTGGCCCCCTATAAAAGAACCCTGCTCCTCTGAGCAGGCATAGCCATTTTCCTGTTCTTCCCAACTGGCCCGCCCGGAGGCTCTTTCCTCTCAATAAAGCCTGAACTTAAGACTTTCTTCTAACCTGCGGTCCTGTTTTTTCCGAATGAGCTCTGTCTTCCCGTAGAGGGTAGGTCGGACATTAACTACAGGAAGAGAATTCAATCCAGGCAGACATTTCCCCAAAATTTCCTCTCCACTCTCTGGAAGAGGCCACTGCACATTTATTACTCCTTAATGTCATTTTAATTCTTATAGAAGGGCAGAGTGTGGTGGCTCCTGCCTATAATCTCAACAGTTTGGGATGCCAAAACAGATGGATCACCTGAGGTCAGGAGTTTGAGACCAGCCTGGCCACTATGGTGAAAACTCATCTCTACTAAAAATACAAAAAATTAGCCAGGCATGGTGGCAGATGCCTGTAATCCCAGCTACTCGGGAGGCTGAGGCAGGAGAATTGCTTGAACCTGGGAGGTGGAGGTTGCAGTGAGCTGAGATCTAAGATTGTGCCATTGTACTACAGCCTGGGCAACAAGAGCAAAACTCTGTCTCAAAAAAATAAAATAAAAGTAAAATAATTCTTGGCCAGGTGTAGTGGCTCATGCTTGTAATCCCAGCACTTTGGGAGGCCAGGGTGCACAGATCACAAGGTCAGGAGCTCAAGACCTGGCCAATATGGTGAAACCCCATCTCTACTAAAAATATAAAAATTAGCCAGGTGTGGTGGTGGGTGCCCGTAGTTGCAGCTACTCAGGAGTCTGAGGCAGGAGAACTGCTTGAACCCAGGAGACAGAGGTTGCAGTGAGCCAAGATCATGCCATTGCACTCCAGCCTGGGCTACAAAGTAAGAGTCCATCTCAATAAATAAATAAATATATACACAATAATTAGCCAGGGATGGTGGCAGGAGCCTGTAATTCAGCCACTTGGGAAGCTGACTCAGAAAACTTGCTCGAACCTGTGAGGTGGAGGTTGCAGTGAGTCGAGATGGCTCCACTATACTCCAGCCTGCACAACAGAGTGAGACTCTGCCTTAAAAAATAAGAATAATAAACACCTAAATAAATATTTACAAACTTTAAGACATGATACAGAAAACTGCAAAGCATTGTTGAAAGAAATTAAAGGCCTAAATACATAGAAAGATACCCCATGTTCATGTATCAGAAGACTTAACACTTTTAAGATGGCAATATTCTCCAAATGGATATACAAATTCAATGCAATCCCTGTCAAAGTCTTAGGTATCTTTTTTTTGCAGCAGAAGCAGAAACTGACAAATTGATCTTTTTTTTTCTTGCATTTTAGGTTTTGGGTTACATGTGCAGATCATGCAAGATAGTTGCATAGGTACACACATGGCAGTGTGTATTGCTGCCTTTCTCCCCTTCACCCACATTTGGCATTTCTCCCCAGGCTATCCCTCTCCCCTTCTCCCCCTGCTGCCCCTCCCCTATTCCCCCCCAGTAGACCCTAGTGTGTTGTACTCCCTTCCCTCTGTCCATGTGTTCTCATTTTTCATCACCCGCCTATGAATGAGAATATGAGGTATTTCATTTTCTGTTCTGTTCTAGTGTCAGTTTGCTGAGAATGATGTTCTCCAAATTCATCCATGTCCCTACAAACAACACGAACTCATCATTTGTGACTGCTGCATAATATTCCATGGTGTATATGTGCCACATTTTTCCAGTCCAGTCTATCATCCATGGGCATTTGGGTTGGTTCCAGGTCTTTGCTATTGTAAACAGTGCTGCAATGAACATTCATGTGCATGTGTCCTTATAGTAGAATGATTTATAGTTTTTTGGATATGTATACCCAGTAATGGGATTGCTAGGTCAAATGGAATTTCTATTTCTAGGTCCTTGAGGAATTGCCACACTGTCTTCCACAATGGTTGAACTAATTTACACTCCGACCAACAGTGTAAAAGTGTTCCTATTCCTCCACATCCTCTCCAGCATCTGTTGTCTCCAGATTTTTTAATGATCACCATTCTAACTGGCGTGAGATGGTATCTCAATGTAGTTCTGATTGGCATCTCTCTAATGACTAGTGATGATGAGCATTTTTCCATATGTTTGTTGGCCTCATGTATGTCTTCTTTTGTATCTGTTCATATCCTTTGCCCATTTTTGAATGAGCTTGTTTGTTTTTTTCCTGTAAATCTGTTTGAGTTCTTTGTAAATTCTGGATATCAGTCCTTTGTCAGATGGGTAGACTGCAAAAATTTTTTCCCATTCTGTTGGTTGCCGATTCACTCTAGTGACTATTTCTTTTGCCGTGCAGAAGCTGTGGAGTTTCATTAGGTCCCATTTGTCTATTTTGGCTTTTGTTGCCAATGCTTTTGGTGTTTAGGTCATGAAGTCCTTGCCTACTCCTATGTCCTGAATGGTTTTGCCTAGATTTTCTTCTAGGGTTTTTATGGTGCCAGGTCTTATGTTTAAGTCTCTAATCCATCTGGAGTTAATTTTAGTGTAAGGTGTCAGGAAGGGGTCCAGTTTCTGCTTTCTGCACATGGTTAGCCAGTTTTCCCAACACCATTTATTAAACAGGGAGTCCTTTCACTGTTGCTTGTTTTTGTCAGGTTTATCAAATATTGTATGGTTGTAGATATGCTGTGTTGCCTCTGATGCTTCTATTCTGTTCCATTGGTCAATATCTCTGTTTTGGTACCAGTACCATGCTGTTTTGATTACTGTAGCCTTGTAGTATAGTTTGAAGTTTGGTAGTGTGATGCCTCCTGCTGTGTTTTTTTTTTTTTTTGCTTAGAATTGACTTGGCTATGCAGGCTCTCTTTTGGTTCCATATGAAGTTCATGGTGGTTTTTTCCAGTCCTGTGAAGAAAGTCCATGGTAGCTTGAAGGGGATAGAATTGAATCTGTAAATTACTTTGGGCAGTATAGCCATTTTCACGATATTGATTCTTCCTAGTCATGAACATGGAATGTTTCTCCATCTGTTTGTGTCCTCTCTTATTTTGTTGAGCAGTGGTTTGTAGTTTTCCTGGAAGAGATCTCTTACATTCCTTGTAAGTTGTATTCCTAGGTATTTTATTCTTTTTTAGCAATTGTGAATGGCAGTTCATTCTTGATTTGGCTCTCTTTCAGTCTGTTATTGGTGTATAGGAATGCTTGTAATTTTTGCACATTGTTTAAGCCACTGACATAATAACAAACAGTCTCTCAGACCATAGTGCAATCAAGTTAGAACTAAGAATTCAGAAACTAACTCAGAACCGCACAGCTTCATGGAAACTGAACAACTGGCTCTTGAATGTTGAATGGGTAAAGAATGAAATGAAGGCAGAAATAAAGAAGTTCTTCGAAACCAACGAGAACGAAGACACAACATACCAGAATCTCCGAGACACATTTAAAGCAGTCTCTAGAGGAAAATATATAGCAATAAGTGCCCATATGAGAATAGTGGAGAGGTCCAAAATTGACACCCTATCATCAAAATTGAAAGAGCTAGAGGAGCAAGATAAAAAAAACTCAACACCTAGCAGAAGACAAGAAATAACTAAGATCAGAGCAGAACTGAAGGAGATAGAGACACGAAAAAATCCTTCAAAAAATCAATAAATCCAGGAGCTGGTTTTTCAAA